GAAAGGGCTGGAGGGAGGCAGCATGTCTGGCCTTGCAGTAGTAGGCCTTGGGTTACTGCTGGTAATCCTGTCTTCCTCTCGTGGGATTAGAGGTCAGAACATGTGGTCTCCTTGTCGCTTTTGTAAACACAGCACTGCCAAAGCTCCTTAACATATGATAGTACCTGACATAAATATACTATTAATAGCATTTTACCAAGGGTAATTCTAAATTTCCAATAATGAGAACTGTACAGTTGGTTTCTAAATCTTTAGGGTTTTCCTTTTCCAAACTTCTAATCTGATGTTAAAAGGTTTTTGCTCTGTTGAAACATTTTTTTCTGGACTTTCATCCAAATTTTGAGACCTTCCAGCTTTTGTAAACTTTTATGAGCTTTTATAAAATTGTGTGGCTTCTGATTCCGAAGTTCACCTTACCATTCTGTTTACTTAAGAAGGATGTTTTGAAGATGAGGCTTATTTTTTTTTCTTGCACCGTACCACAAAATGAGATGCATCTATGCCATTTGCCTTCTGCTTTTTCCTTTCTCTTCTCAAACTCTAGTTCTTTCGTTTTTTAATTCCTACCAACAGGTATAGGAGCTCTGGTGGCCTAGTGCCTAAGGCATTTGACTGCTAACCAGGAGGCTGGTGATTCAAACCCATCAGCCACTCCTCAGAAGGAAGGTTGGGCAAATCTCCTTCTGTAGAGATACTGCCTCGGAAACCCAAGGAGGGGTCACAATGAGTCGGATCCGACTCAACGGCAATGAGTTACTAATATGTATAAAGTCAGAATACTGGTGAGGTTACTGACATGGCACAGGAATTAATTCTGTGCAAACTCGATGTGTGTCAATGGGAACTCATGCTCAGGGAAGGACTGCTGTACCACTCTGTTCAAGGATTCTAAGAAAGCAGACCATCTATCTGGTCCATGCAGAAGTAGTTCCTTAATGCAGATAGGCATTGTGCATCACATTTAAGAAATACACCAGAATGCTCCTTGGAAGTGAGAATTCATTTTAGGGAGAATTCCTTTTAGGAGTTTCTATATTCACAATTATGTCATCTATAAATGGTATTTCAATTTTGTCCTTCTCAATCCTTATATGCCTTTTCTTGCTTTATTATACTGATTAGACCTTCCAAAACAATGCTCAGTAGAAGTGGGATAACCTCTAACTTAGTCTTGCGCCTTATCTTGGGGAGAAAGCTTCAATAATTCACAAAGTACAATGCTTTCTGTATGTTTTCGCAAGGATTTTTTTTAATCATTAAGATGCCCTTCTTTTCTAATTTGTTAAAATATTTTTGAAGTCAAACGTTTAATTAAATGTAAGCAAATATTTTGCTTTTACAGAGATGGCTATGTAATTTTTTTCCCTGTGGTACTGACACTAATTTTCTAGTGTTTAATTAATCTTGCTTTCCTACAATAAGCCCGATTTATATTATTGTTATGTATTACCAAATTTGATTTGCTAATGTTTTACTTAGGATTTCCACATCGATATTCACAAGAGAGATTGCTCTTTAATCTTCCCTTTTGGTAAGGATTGTAAGGCTTTTGATCAAGTTGTGGTAGCCTCAAAAAGCAACTTGAGAAGTGGAGTCCTGAAAAAGTAAGACTGATACTATTTCTTTCTTAAATACTTAGAATTAACCAATGGAAAACATGTTGGCCTGAGTTTTTGTTGTTTGTTTGTTTCTCTTGAATCAACAAAGTTCCTGTAACAAGAAATTTTTATTTTTTCTTGGCTTAAGTTTAATAAATTGTTTTCCAATATATTTTTCCACTTTACTAGATTGTCAAGTTTGTTGATGCAAGATTGCTAGTTAGTTTAGAGGCTCTGTAGTGATGTCACCTTTTAAATTGCTGATAATTTATTTTTCTTTTCCTGATCATTCTTGCTAGTAGTTCACATTTTATTTTTTCAGAGATTTTTGTGTACGTATCTTTTGTCAGTGATTCCTGCTCATATTTTTATCTTGTTTCATCTTTTCTTTTGCTTTAATGCTTGTTTTTTTTTCTAGTCTCTTGAGATGGAAGCTTAGGACATTTTCCTGTGGCTGCAGCTTAATATAACTATCCCCAATCCTATCTCAAGAATCCTGTTTTCACTTCAGTCTATAACCTCCAAGGGTAGCTCACCTATAAGATATGGCTTCAACATACAAGTAGCTGTATGTTGGTTTTTAATTTTTTTTAATCTGTCAGCATGGACTATTAAGTGTGTCTTTCCCCTAAAATCTGATCCCAATTTCTCAAATCATAATAAAGTCTATAACTAACATTACTTCCTTTTCTTCCTGTTTTTCTTTGTATATCACACATCTTAATTAATTATATGCCCAATTCTAAGTTAAAAGAAAAAAAGTGACAGTTATTCTTAACTTGTTCTCTGTGACATCCAATCAATAACCAAATGTTGTTAATCTTAATTCCTAAATTTCTTTCAAACACATGTCTCTTTCCTTATAACTATTGCTACTAGTCTTGCTCAGGCCTCATGTATTTTTCTCTCTGTACTACACAACAAGTTTGTTTACTGGTCACCTCAGATCTAGTTTTTCCTGTGCTAATCTGTTTCCCATGTCCTGTTTCTAAAATGCAAATTTGATCATGTCATTCCTCCATTCAAATGCTCCTAAAAGCTTCTACAGAGTAAAAAAATAATCTCAATTTTTTGGCATTGCATAGAACAAATATCAACTGAACTGCACATTCCCATGTGCCAAGTGCTGTCATATATTTTCATTTACTAAATTGTGGTGCATGGAGCTTTGGTGGTGTAGTGGTTAAAGCATATAGCTGCTAACCAAAAGGCCAAAGGTTTGAACCCACTAGCCAGGAGAAAGATGAGGCAGTCTACTTCTATAAAGATTTATAGCCCTGAAAACCCTGTGGGTGGGTACTTCCTCAGCTTTCCCTCCCACCACCATCACCACCACCATCACATTAATGCAGGCAACTAAAAGCATTTTTATATGCAGAAGATAGCAGTATAATTAGTCAAAGATTTCTTAAATTATGAAAATAATTTGATGCTCAATAAATCCAAACTCAAACTTGTATATATATATATATATATTTAATTTTATTTGGTATACACTGCTATGACCTTATCGTAATTGAAATCAATTACAGGATTTCTTTCTTTCTTTCTTTTTTTTGTGGTTAGTTAACTCCACAAAGACAATTAATACTGCTGTGGAAGACCAAAAGAAGGAAAAATAAAAACAACTGATATATTTATTTACAATTGCTTATCTTGTAAACATTTAATCTATGTACTGTTACTAACTTATACTGAGAGAGCTTTACATAGACAAGAAAAAGATGCCCTGGATTTCTATTCATATTCAGCAATAGCATATTATAATAGAACATCAGATTTTTTTCCCATTAGCATTATGCTGTCTTCAGATAATTATTTGAACTTTCAAAAGAACTAAATATATTCAAGTGCTATACAACTAAAACTACTGAAGCCAACATACTTGGCTTATAATTTCATTTTCAGAATAATTCAAAGTGCTATAAGCAACCTGGCAATCAACACTTTCTATAAGAACAAAACTACCTTTAAACATTAATTTACAAGATAATTTACAATGTTTATCTGGAATAGCTGAAATTTCAGCACAAAGTCACTGTCACATGTATAACAGCAGGGTTTTTGTGGATTTTTTTTTTTTTTTTGCATAACATGAAGCTTGAAATTAACTGATGAATTATTGCCAAATGACTTATTATTGGTTTTCCTACAAAAGAGGATAATAACTACTAGTAATAGTCTATCTTTTCATTTTTTTGAGGTCACCTGACAGTAAGTTTGCATATTCTACAAGTCTACTGAGTTACAATATTGTCAGCTATAAATGCTAATGGTAATCAATAACATATATCACTCAATTGAAAAATAAAATCACAAGTTTTTTTTCCTTTTGAACAGGAATAAACTATATTTTTGGAGTTGGTGTGCAATAATGCTAAAACAAAAGAATTATACAGTATATCTGACACAATATTGAAGAAATATGGATCTGTTTCATAATTTTATGCTTATGATAATGCCCTGCTAAGCTACAAATATGTAAATACTGTATTTTCTTGCTTAATATAGTAAATCCAATAGAATCATCAAGTTCTCATTCTCCTTTGTCATTTTATAAATCTTTATCAGATAATTCAATAATGAAAGTATATGCCCAAACCTGCAGATCATATGCAGTATGGTCTATTTCAACCAGAATTCTCCTCAAATTTCATCTTTAGTAAAATGAAATTGAGAATATCTTCAAAATTAATAAAATGGTGTAATGTGAATTGAAACTAGAACTCAGTGTCTACAGAGTATGCATTATTTTGGCATGTAGTTCTCATTCGTAAGAGTAACTAAGTTGAGCATATCCAAAAGTCACCTGTGGCAACCTCATAGTGATGAAGTAATATCTAGCTAGTCTTCATTCCCTCAAAGTTCCAGTTAGACTGCTCTATTAAAGAATCAATGAAAACAAGTAACAAACCAAAACAGGTTCAACAAAAGAGCACCGTCCTATTAGGAGATCACAATAACATGGACTATAGATGAGGGGGTCACTATGATCAAAATGATGCCAAAATTCTGACCAAACCCAAGATGTTATGCTACATGGACCCAGGCCATGGTCTAAACCTAAACAACTTTGGGACAGAAACATGATTTAAAAAAAACCCCAAAATTAGAGCTGTACTAAATGGTGATACAGACTAATTCTAAAACATTGGTGACATGCTACATTGTATTGCTACTTGAACTTTCAAAACAATGCTTGTCCATGTCAGGTTTGGGCATTATCCTGCTAAGACAGAGAGCATTATATTTACTCAAAAGCCCAGATTTCAATGTCTTGGATAAAGAAATCTTCCCTCTTAGAAAGTGTATGATTCCCAAATGTTTTACAAGAATGGCTTCTTCCATGGTAGAGATCTCCGTCAAGCCAAAGAGCAAATTCTCCCCTGCAATACGTTAAAAAAAAAAAAAAAAGAAAAAAGTTATTAAACAACAATCTTTTAGTACTTGTGCCCTGATTTGTAAAATGATTATATGGTAGCAAAAGAGCTCAGTTTGCAAAGGCTTTTAAAATGGATAAAGATGTGATGCTGAAATTCTTTATCAAGCAGAAAGACCAAGAAAAGATAAAGGTCTATCACAAAACAAAATGTGTATATGAACTGTTGAATGTAAAATGAATCTACTTTTAAAATTTTACCCAAATCACAATTAAAAAAAAAAAAAAAAAAACATAGTAAGGTCTAATTTATCTAACAGAATATATAACCTGGGCGAAAAACAGGGCTAAGAGAGGAATTGTTTTCTACCATATGGAGAACTTTTTCTACCTAACAAAAGCAGGAAGGGGGCAAAGATTAACAATTAACACAATGCTCAGGTGCAGTAAGCCTTGGAGATGCTCTATATTTACCTAAGATACCAAACCAATGGGAGCTCTGGTGACATAGTGCCTAAGGCATTTGACTGCTAACCAGGAGGCTGGCCCAAACCCACCAGCCACTCCTTGGAAGGAAGGTTGGGCAATCTACTTCTGTACTGATACAACCTTCGAAACCCAAGGAGGGAGGGGTCACTATGAGTCGGATCCAATTCGAGGGCAGTGAGTTTGGTGTTTTTGGTATCAAACCAATAGAGGTGAGCCAGGGTTGAGGAGATTTTAAAAAAATATAGGTAGTTACGTTCCAGTAAAAAAAAAGAAAAACAGTCTGAGATCAAGAAGACATATTGGTGGATTCACCCGGTCAGTATCTATGTGAAACTACATTAAGAGGTTTAACCCTTTCTGGGATGCAAGTTGTCAATTCTTTAAAAAGAAGAAGAAGAAGAAAAAAGATTAACTAATCTCTCAAGACTGACACAACTCTAAAATTTGAAGATATAACCAGGCGGGCAACTGTGGTGTAGTAAATTACTTAGTGTGGCTTTTCTACCCATAAGTCTTTGTAAACTCCAAGGTGGGATTTTCTCTGAGCAACTGAGGAGCTCCTGATTGCTGAAGGTGTCCACCTGGAGTATTTCTGTTGGGAGTGGCACAAAACAATGTTCTGGGAGGTGCCCACTCTCTCTCAGGTGCTTAGAGTTCTGATGCTATGATTAGCTTGTTTGACCACCCTGCCGGCTCAAAAGGAGGCCTCATAGAGGCAGAACTCTCTCTGACTGCTGGTTGAGGAAGATGCGCCCCTGAAAGAGACATGGGCTCCTGAGACACGCGTTGCTGGGAAAGAGACGCAAGAGACACGCATCGCTGAGTGAGACACCGAGGGACCAGTACTGCTGGGAAAGAGCCTGTGAGAGACTGTTGGCCAAAGGACGGTGGGCTGGGAGAGAGACTGAGCGTTCTTCCTGAACTTGAATTGTAGCCTGGTGCTTCCCTAATAAACCCCATAATCTGTGAGCTCTGTGTGGCCACTGCAGCGAATTATCGAACCCAGGAGAGAGGTGGTGGGTGCTTTGGGAGGAATGGTTGGTGAAAGGGCTGGAGGGAGGCAGCATGTCTGGCCTTGTAGGAATAGGCTGTGGGTTACTGCTGGTAATCCTGTCTTCCTCTTGTGGGATTGGAGGAGGTCAGAACATGTGGCCTCCTTGTCGTTTTTGTAGCAACAGAAGTCACATGGCATCTTAAAAGTACACTGTCTTGTGTGGAAGACAACTGTCCTACATATGATTTAATTTTTTTTTTTTAATTCTACCTTGGAACAAAATAAAGGAGTGATTTATTTATTCTCTGTGACCAATAAATCACTCCAGACCAACCGCAGCAGCAGATATCTAGTTACCACATACTAGCTGCATATCTAGTTCTAGGCATAGAGATGTACTTCTGTTTAAACAGATAAAGGTGGCTAAGCCATGCAGGCTAGTTCTGAAAAGCTGATACTTTACAAAAAAAAGTAAATAAATAAAATACTGATGGTCATCTATAGTAACTAAAGACATCAATCATGCAGTGTCATTCAAGAGGTGAGCCAACACTATAGAAAATAATAAACTATAATGGGATAACCAGCAATGAAGTTTTAATTAAAGACCTTCTCTACAAATGAAAACACAACTTTGCTAAGATATGAGATAATCTGAAATGACGCCAGTGTAGAGTCTCTGAGTTGGTTAAGCAGAAAAGCACTATAAAGACAGTCCCTAAAATACCCTTCCTTCCCCCTGAGGAAGCCATAATTTTTTAAGGTTCAACTTGAAATTCACGTTTGACTGATTTATTTCTTCAACTTCAAATGTGCATCTATCCTGGGTCAGATAATGTCACACACTGGAGAACACACAAAATAAATTAGAAACTATTTGAAAGAATAAGTTCACTATCTTACGGCAATAGACCTTTAATCAACCTACCCTTAATGAAAGAGCTAAATCAATGTGTCTTTTAAAGTGGGGGCAGAATCACTAAGCTAATGAAAAGGGTAGAAAAAAAAGATTAGATATTTAGTTGTAATTGTAAATGATAATATCTAACAACTACCTTAAAACTGACCCCAAGTTTCTTATAAGTAGTAGTATTAATTCTGCAATAAGCTTCATTACCAAATAGGAATGGGAACCTGAAACTTCTGAACCTGAATGGATGCTTTCAGAGTTTATGAACTCTAAGCAACATTTGGCTTGTGTATTCGATTTAGGGACAGGGTGCATGGTTTTGTTAAGCATTTATAGTTGGGGTTTGTGACCTCCAAATATTAAGAAAATATTTTCAGGGATTAAAGACCTGTCCCCAGGTGAAACACACAAAAAAATACATTTTTATATAAGCATTGCTTTCAAGGATGACTTATATAGCTGAGAACATAATGGGTAAGGGAATGGAGGAAATAAGAGTCTCCCAAATCCTTAATTAATGTCACGTAACTTGGGAAGTGCCTAATGGCATCACAGGCAGAAGACCCTAGGTAAAACTCCTTCCATGGTCCCAGGTCCCAGAAGGGAAAAGATGACAGATGTAAAGAAATAAGTAATGGTGGCTATCATCTATTGAGTATCTATTATGCAGTGGATTATATATACTAGGGTTTGCATAGTTTATATCTCAATGAATTTCTCATGACTGCCAGTGGGTTCAATCTTCAATTTATAGCTGAGGAAAGTTTAGACATATTAGGGGATTTGTACCACATGTAACATATATTGAAGCTGGAATCTGAACCAGGTCTCTTTGGTTCCAAAGCTTGTATTCAGTCTACCACATCATGATTTGTATTTCTTTAGGACTTCTGCTCAGAATCTAGAATATTAAGTTCCTGTAGCTCCTGTTTTCTAAACTGTAATCTCGTCTTCAAAGACAGGAAATTTGTCTTAATGACCCAGTGGCCATTTAAGTTGGTGAGATCATATTATACAATCAAAATCCACTTCCATCAGACATCCAATGACATGTTTTATATGATTTTCAAAGACTGAGACACCCTTATTAGCTTGAAATTATAAGACCTTTGCTTGTAAGACCTACCGATGGAGCTAACTGAATCATATGTAAGACTACCATTTGCAGGAAAGCTGAATGACCACCCTCCAACAACAACAAAAAGATGTTAACTGGACTACATAAAAATTTTATGCTGAGCCCAACAACTAAAATAACATGGTTTTTAAATTGTTTGGTTTGTCCTTCAGAGAAGGCTACAGTAACCATGGGTATTTTTTAGTCACTGAAGTCCTATCATCCAGAGATCTAGCTACAGAGTAGTTTTAAAGGAATTTATTAGAATCACTCAGGATGATGAATATTCTCGAAGGTTAACATGAATCTGTGACCTGAATGAATTATTATTATACATCTTCAACTACAAATAATTTGGACTACAAATAATATGAAAAGCCAGGTAAATATTTAGAATACTTTTAGAATATTTTATGTCTGATCCTGAAGGAGAGAGAGATGATGTTAATGTTTGCCAAGTGCTATGTGAGAAGTCCAGGGTAAGAGGCAGGACAAGCTACCTCCCAGCACTGTAAAGCCCGGAGAAAGCCTGGCAGTCACAATCACAGACAGTCTTGGTAGGAAAGCAAGAGCTCTAAAATATCAATCAAAATAGTCTCTAGGGTAAAATGACATGAAAACAATTGGGACTTTCCTAAGCACTGGTAGAAATAACATACCAAAATTGTTAATTAAAATTTGAGAGTTCAGAATGTATCAATATATTTTCCTTTCAAATACCAAGGAATCACTGTACTCTAAAGAAAAAGGTAATCTTTAGTCAAAAAGAAATAAAATTAAACAACATTTTAACAGTCTACCAATAGTTTCAAATACTGCATTTGAGCACCTTCTTGCAAATATATATTGTCTTATTAAGAACAAATTAGGATTCCAATGACAAAACTTCCCAAAGATAACAGATTTTTATAAATAATCCAAATGCAGTAGGTTTCTTGAAAAATCTCACAGTAAAATGTTCAAGAGACTTACCCTCCACCACCAAAAGCTAGTGAATCCATGTCTCCTTTGATAAAAAACATATTATCTCCTGTCCACTTAAAGACCTACACAAACGAAAAAAAGCTTTAAATAACAAATTTTTTTTAGTAGAGAAAGGGATCTGTCTATCTATCCATCCATCCATCTAATACATGTAGATGAAAATTGTTACTATACATAGTTTTCCAAGTCTAAATAGTTAACAAGCCTACATTGACAGCAGGAACAAAGCAGCCTGGGACAGAAAATTCTGGGGCTTGGGGTTCCAGTGTTCGTATAACAAAATTTGAAAGCACATAATTTACTATAATATATCCTGAATTATAATTCCTCAAATCTTATTTTCTCCATAAATACTTGTCTTTTCTCAATCTCTAGTTGCCAAAGTTGTTGGTTAATGGGAAAAATTGAAGACAGCAAAGAATGAGGTTTAAAAAATGATATAAAAGCCATTAACTTTTATTTTTAACATTAAACATATAAATGTACATTAATTTGATAATATTTTGATAAAAAAACAAGGTCTTTTCTTTGGGTATGGATTATCATCCTTAAACATGCATTATGAGCATAGTTTAGATAATTATGATTTTTCACTTTCAATTTCTTTCAGGAGAAGTGAAAAAGAGACTTGAGAAATCGGATGGCAAAACCTTTTAGATGTTAGTATTCGTAAGTATTTTTTTCTGATCTTTTATAGGTATTTTACCAAGTGAAATAAGTAACCATTTTTAGGAACTCACTTTCATAAAGTTTTTCATTTAAATAAAATTCCTTTTAACATTCATATTTTCATAATTAAAAGATATTTAATATCAGGTGGAAATAGTATAAACAGGTTTGGGAACAAGCACAACTGCATCTGAGATCTCTAACAAGGAGTGGGTATTAATGCATAGCTTATCTAGCTGTAGGCATCACTTGTCAGGCTTTATCGAGGGACTAGAGAGAATAGTCAATCTGCTTAACCAGTTAAGCACAAGTTTGTTTAGATATCCTCTACTTGAGGATTCCTGCTCTTGGCTGAAAATCTGTATGTGATTATTCAGGCTGGACCACCGGCAATTACAAAGGCTTCACCTTGCACATCTCAGGGGAAAAGCTGCCCTCCCCACACACTTGCTGCATAGACAATGCATTGCACTTTCTGAAGGGAACTGCAGTCAATGACTCAGGCCTCCCTTGGTAGCTGCAGGCCTGGATGGCCACACTCTCACTCACATCTGCATTCCTAGCCCAACCTCCTTCATTCAGAGTCCTAAGCAGAGATCTTTCACAGGTACATCTACTGAAACCTTCTTATCAGGGAAAGGGGGGAAAACCTTGAAGATCTTTCCCACTCTAAGGAAGAACTCAGCAAGCACTTTTCTACTCCTACTTCTTTGTTCCCTGCCCCGCCCCCACACCCAATATAACTGAAACCAAACCAAGAAGACCAAACTCACTGCTGTCCAGTCAGTGCCGACTCATAGAGACCCCTCCTTGGGTTTCTGAGGCAATATCACTACGGAAGTAGATTGCCCAACCTTCCTTCCGAGGAGTGGCTGGTGGATTATGCACTGCAAGCCTCTGGTTAGCAGTCACATGCCTTAGGCACTAGGCTACCAGAACCTTTTATTCAGGGCTTCCTTGTCTCCACTGATCCCTTTGACCCTGGTAAAGTGGCTTCTTTTCATGGGGGAACATGGAAGAGAGTCTTGCTTACAATATCACAGTGAATGATTAAAGGCTTGACTCTGACTTTCATTTTGGCTTGTCTCAATCACCTCCTTTTAAACCTGGCAGCTCAGCTCAGCTCACCTCCTGACACTACTGTGTTACCAAATTCTCCAATTTTATTCATTACAGAAATTGTCCCTAAATACCATTTTTTAAATCAACTTTGTTGATTCCTTTTCTTATGATTAAAATACAATTTATTCTCTTTGGGAAGGTTTGACATGCTGAACCTCCTTGTACCTGAGATACTAGTATTGGCCTCAATGTCTTAAGCAGTCACACATTCACTAAAATTCATTTTTGACCTTACTGGCATTAGAATGCATTTGATTTAAGTTAGCTAAGCCACAGTTAAGATAACCACACTAAGGAAAAAAAAAATCAGTTATTCACATTTGACTGAAATCTAAATAATTCATTTTTAAGCTTTCAGGACTTACATTATTAAACTTTAAACTAAACCAAATTCACTGCCATCAAATTGTTTCACAGCGAGCTGCATTGGGTTTCCAAGAATATAAGTCTTTATGGAAGTAGATTGGCCCATTTTTCTTCTACAGAGTGGCTGGTGGGTTTGAACCACTGACCTTCTGGTAAGCAGCCAGCTACCTTATCCACTATGCCACCAGAGCCCCTTCATTAACTTTAGTCCTTAAAAATTTCTAGGAAGTTCACAATGATAATTTATAAATAGAATAGAAATGATAATGTATATATTCTTTACTAAGCTCCTGATCTGTGTCTGGTACCTTGACAACTCTTGTCTATAAATTATATTATCATTTAATTTTCAAACAATCCTGTTACATTTTATGATCTTGCAGTGGTTATGGCATTTGGCTACTAACCAAAAGGCCAGCAGTTTGAACCCATGGTTCTCCACGGGAGAAAGATGAGGCAAGTCTGCTTCCATAAATATTTCCAGCTTTGGAAACCCCCCTATGGGGTAGTTCTACTCTGTCCCATAGGGTCACTAGGAGTTGGAATTGACTTGATGGCAGTGTTTTTTTTTTTTAACTCCATCTACTGGAAAACTGAAGCTCAAAATGGTCAAAGAAAGCCTAAATTATCAGTAAAAGGCAAAGATGGGAGTAAAATGAAATGTGCATGTTGCCACAGTGAATGTTTTTTTCATTATGCCAGCTCTTTGTAAACATAATATTAGAATTATTGTCCTTACTTCAAACTCTGGACAGAATGTAAAAACAAAGGTCTCTCCAGTACCATAGAAGCCATCACTCACTTTCAATGGCTCAGATGCTAATGCACCAAAAACCTAAGAATAAAAAAAAAAGCATGTTAAATGACATGAACATTAATTTGTTTCACTAAACATTATCCCATCATACCTTTCTAAATAAAATACAAAAAAAGGTATCTGATATAGTGCTCTAAGGAGTTCTGTTAGCACAGTGCCTAAGGCATTTGACTACTAACCAGAATGTTGGTGGTTCAATCCCACTAGTGCTCTGCGGAAGGAAGATGGGGCAATCTACTTCCTTAAAGATTTGTTGTTGTTGTTAAGTGCCATCAAGTCAGACCTGACTCATAATGACCCCTCCTTGGGTTTTTGAGGCAGTAACACTATGGAAGTAGATTGCCCAACCTTCCTTCCGAAGAGTGGCTGGTGGATTTGAACCACCAGCCTTCTGGTTAGTAGTCAAGTGCCTTAGGCAATACACTATCAGAGCCCCGCCCCTTAAAGATTTACTGCCTCATAAACCCAACAGGGGTCACTATGAGTCGAAATCAACTTGATGGCAGTGAGTTTGGTTTGGTTTGATACAAACTATCTACTTGTATTTTAAAAAAATTCATATCCTGCTGCTTTTCTTTCCCACAGAGGTTTTGAGGATGCTTGTAGAAAATACATGTACAACAGAAAGTGAGAACCAAGTGACTTGTATTCAAAAAGAGAATACAAGTATAACAATCATAAGTCTTTTACATATACGCATATGTGTATATATATGCAGGCTACTGAGCTTACCAGAAGCCAAAGACAAAAGGGAAACATTATCAGTTGCTATATAGTGCACATTACTATTTGTCAAGTACAAAGCACATTAGTTTGTCAATGAGGAAAAATGAACTTTTTTTTTGTACTTTGAAATCAGAAAAATGCTTATTGCTAAGAATTAAACACACAATCTTAAAAATGGTTAATGAATTTTAGGAGGACTTATAAACACATTGTACATACAACAAGAATAACATGTTGTTGTGGGAACATAGCACTTAGGGAAGCAAAAACGTTTCAGCATAGTCTGTTATAAAAAGGTTATTATTATTATTATTTTCCATTATTAGACAGTGAACTCCAAGCAGGCAGGTCTTGGGTCTGAACTGCTTGTCCTTGTAACCTCATGGCCTTGCACGGTATAAGGTACACAGCAGACGCCATAACAGGAGAATGTCTGACTATGTACATGAATGACTGTACGTACATTTCAGTGCTCTGGGGCTGTTTCCACAACATACAATGTGAGTGCTTATGTTTTACAGATGACCTGTACAGTCATTGCCTCTTCTGACATTTTATTTTATAGCCTTAATTTTAAAAGAGATCTTCTTATGGAATGATTATTTTATATTTACATAGAAAAATACACAAAACATAAATGTACACCTTAATTTGGAATTATCAAAGTCACATTTAACCTTCATTCCAACCAAGAAACAAAGCATGAGCAGCACTCCAAAAGCTCTCCTCACTCTTCCTCTTCGTTACATTCCCACCTCCCCAAGGAAGCTAGTAACCTGACACCACCATAAGGTTTGCTTAACTGGCTCATGAAAGTTACTCTTAATTGTCTGGGTTTTAACTTAATATGATGTTTATGACACATACATGGCAAGTAGAAGCAGGTCAACCAGTTGGTCATTCATTATCACTATTGCAAATACTTTTATGGGGTATATTACCTTGGGTGATGAACTTTTACTCATTTTTAAAACAGGAATAATAATAGTACCAATCTCATGGGGCTTTGACAATTAAATAAGACAGTGCCTATAAAGTGGTTAGCCCTGCAGTATAACAAGCACCCTAAAGGTATTAGTTGTGGTCATGTTTTTGTTTGTTTGTTTGATGCAGTTCTAGTCTATCCTATAGGGATGCTATGAGTCACAACTGACTTGATGGCAGTGGGTTTTTTTCAGTTTTGTTTTGTTTACTCTCTAATTCCGGTAAACCTGAACTTGCTATTTCAAGGACAAACCAAAGTTTCTCTCTTTTTTCTTTCTGTTCTTACCACAAGACTATCTTCAACTATGAAAACTTTACCCATGCTTCTAGACTCTATCAATTTCTACCTTTTCCATGAAGCTCATAGGTATTTCCCCTAAATAGAAATTTCACTTTTTCTGGCCTCTTATTATACTTAACATATTTTGGTCAGCATTAGAGATATTGGTAAACCTTCTTTTCTACCAGACCATAATCTCCTTTAAGGCAAGAACTCTTAATTATTCATGCTCATATCTATCTTTTGTAGCACTCAGTTCTGCCTTGTATTTTAAAAATATTCAACAATTATCTGTTATAAACTTAATAATATCAATAATGAAAATTATTTTTCTATAGTGGATACCCTAAAAGTTATGCTACTCTAATCTCTTAAAAGATAAGGTGTCTGTGAAGTTAATTTTTATACCTGGCCATCACTGTCTTTAATCACCATCAGCACTGGGGTGTCCAAACCTGACATTGTTCGGTATAGGGTCTTCAAGCTTGTACCATGCTTCCCAGTACCATAAACGAGAGTCCATGGATAGCCAATTGTTCTTGGTGGAAGATGTTTGGTCAGCTTTGAAAAACAAAATAGTAACACTGACTTGATATCTATTCTGGGCTGAATTGTCCCCCAAAAAATATGTGTTCAAATCTTAATCACTGTTTCTGCAAATACGATCCTGCTTGAAAATAGGTTTTTTCATTTGTTACGTGGTAATCTGTGAGTCCTGTGTGGCCAATGTAGCGAACTACTGAACCCAGCAGAGAGGCAGTGGGTGTCGCGGGAGGAACGGTTGTTGTCAAGGTTAGTAGAGGGTTGAAGGGTGGCAGCATGTCTGGCCTCATTAAGAACAGGCCTTGTCTTCCTCTTGTGTAGTCAGAAGTTGCTACCTCCTTGCCCCTTTGGCAGATGTCATATCAGAATAGGGTAAGTCTTAAACATAATCACTTCTGAGTTATGAGAGTGTGGAAAGGAAAAGACACAGCAACACAGGGTGGGGGGAGAGACAGGGACTTTGAAAGGAATGCCAAGCACTGCTGGCAGCTACTAGATGCTGAAATAGACAAAGAAGGACATCCCGGTAAAGCCATACCCTACGTTTGGACTTGTAGCCTCCAGAACTGTGAGAAAATACATTTCTGTTCTTTAAAGCCACCCACTTGTGGTGTCTTTTATTACAGCAACACCAGGTAACTAAGACAGTAATAGCCTATTGCCGATATGTAGGGTGTGAATGTCAAATGGAATTTAATGGTACTTATCACATGTAGGCTATCAGAGAAAAACAACAGTAGAAATTCTTTATTTTTCTGATATGTTGAGAGTTTCAAAGGTAACTCTGCATTTCTCAGCATGAAATATTAATTGTCACCAGGAATGGAAAATATCGTGGTGAACAAGATACAGATTAGAACAAAGACAAGAAACATGGATCACTTATGGCTTGTGCCCTCTGCCTTTAACTGATAAAAATACTAAATAGTTACACTTTGATTATTAAAATACCTTTCAAATAATGGGCTCTTAAGTCAGACTATCAGAGTTAGCAATCAAGTGTCTATATTACAGCTGTGTGACCTTAAATTACTCAACCTTTGTCTGAGTTTCTTCACTTATAAAATGTACTCAACAGTAAAATCCAAGTTCTAGAGCTGCTGTGATAATTAAATGAGATAATCAACATACAGCAAGTGACTAACATACAGCAAAAAATATTGGTTATTCATTCACCTAAATTGCATTTTGCCTACTTTTTCTTCATGGAAGAGTAAGAGTTACAATAATAACCTTGTTTCTTCAGTTTTAAAAATAACTGAAAAGTGGCTGTTTTATTATCATGGGCACATATTCAAATATACGTATATGTGGACATTTCATACCTTTTCAATTTGATCTGGCAATAAGAGTTCACTGGGATCACTTAGATTTGGTCGAAATGAATCAGTCTCCAGGTCTGCTTTTACTGGAGTGACCTGCTTTGAATTTATGTCTTCCCTTGTAGTAATCTAAAAAAGGAAACAGTGGAAGTGTATTAATATAAATTTGACATGCTTTAAAATTTTTCAGCCTTTTCGGAGATATGAAACTTTACACTTCAGAAAAGGTGACTAAAACTTTAATTCAAGATTTTATAAGATAAAAGCTGCTCCATCAAATAATGATGATGAATCTAATGTAGAAAAAGATTATTTTTAATTTTAAGCAGCCATTTTTTTCTCATCCACTTCATGGAGGAAGAACTGGTAACGAATGATGAATTCTTACATTTCTGGGTAAGAGGAGATAGATACATGCAAACTTTAAATTTAACATTTTGAAAAGCAAAAGTAAGCCAGCTAAATTGCTTTTAATTCACGTGCTTTAAAATATGTAAACTTATTTTTCTCATAGACAACACAAAATTTGCAAAAAATAATTAAAATTTCCTGGGTGTTAAAAATGAATTTAAACAGTAGTAGAACAAAGACTGTATTTGCTTTTAAATATATCTTTATATATAAAACAAAAACAAACCAGTTGCTATCAAGTTTATTTCAACTCATAATGACCCTGTAGGACAAAGTAGAACTGCCCTATAGGGTTTCCAAGGCTGTAATCTTTATGCCAATAGACTGCCATTATCTTTTCCCTGTGGAGCCACTAGTGGGTTTGAACTGGCAACCCTTTGGCTAGCAGCTGAGTGCTTAACCACTGCACCATAAAGGCCACTGTGTGTGTGTATTTGCTTATTTAAAAAGCTACCATTATATTTAAAAATGCTTTCAGTTTTACTTGTTAAATGTTGAAATTATTCTAGTTGGACCAAACAAAAAACATTTTAAAGTTAATTTATTCACAAATAATTTTTTTAAAATTCTATTAATTTATAGTATTAAAAAGAATATATGCTTTTGCTTTATGAAAATTATCTCACTGGTATTCTTAAAATGATAAAAATATCGATTGACTCAATATAACGAATTCTTTTATAATCTGTACTGTTGGTGATTACTTTCTAATATTAATTTTACTTAAGTACATAAAATGTAATAATAGTAGAAAATAAAAGACATGAAACATAACTATTATTGATAAAGGTTTTAACATGGAAAATACACAGAATTTTATTGGAGCAGATAACTAAAATGTGGCAATTCTTGGTGACCATGATTCCATACAGGAATGAAATCTTGTTAAATTATTTTGTTCCTTAAAGAGATTTCTCACCAAACCTGAACAGCATATATTTTCAACCAGTACATGTTCTAGAGCTGTATTGTTTTCTGATGAGAAGTGAATAAGCATAATAATACTCATCTGCATTCTTTCACATCATCATAATGTTTTACCCTTATTTTGATGATGTGAAAGTTTAAAAATAAATCCAAGGCAGCATTAGAAGCATTGAAAGAAAGAAAATTATTTAGCAGATTTAGCAAAGCCATAAAAACACATCTTATTGAGAAGAGGAAACACACACAACTAATAATGCACAAAACTGAAAAATAAGTTCAGTTGTATCATTTTCTGTTCAATTTTATCTCTCTGTCATTTCTAAAAATCACAAAGATTATTTCATGGAGTTTAAAATAATTTATCTAGTTCTGGTACCTAACCTATACTCTAGAGTCTATACTATTCCAAAATATTTCTAATACCAACCAGGAATGCTTCAAGAAAAATAAAAACAACTTTTCCCACTAAGATATCAGATGTGGAACTGACATACTGAAGTAGGCTTAAAGAAGAATGAATACTTAATTCTTGCTACACAAGGAAAATAAACGCATCACTCCAACAAACACATAGTACTGAAGATAGTCATAAAGTAACAGAAAATTCCTCTGAATATTTTTCAAATGAAAGGATAATCCTATATCTCTTCATGAAATACTGTACTCTTTAATATAAAAAGGAATTTTCTGGTGGATTATTTTAGTGCTGCAGTGGAAATAAATCTCTCAAATATGAGATTTGCCCTGACAAAGGACACTAAAAACAGGGAGTGTTCAATCTCTGGAGGGGTTTAAACTACTGAAGGGGGCACCTGGAGTCGTCTGCAGAGTGTGCGCAGTTCTTCAGTATTTAGAGCATCGATCCTGCGGTGATACTCAGCCACTGACACTACCTGAATATGGAGACAGGAAGACAATAATTCCACTGATAGTTGAAGAGAAATTGACTCCCCCCTAAAAACAAAAACAAAACAAAACAAAACACCAGCAAAACAAACAAAAGACCCAAAAAATAAAACCCAATGGAGAATCTTGAAAGGGGGAAGAGAACTGTAAAGAAAGCAAAAATGTTATCACTATTATGATTTCATATATATTACATATATATGTTTGGTGGGCTCCATGAGTTCAAATGATAATCATACTCATGGCAGACCATAAAGGAAAATTAGGATGTCTTCCCCAACTCCATGCTGAAAATCTCAAAAGATTTATATACCAAACAAGAGTGAAATCATATGATTGAATTTAACCACTACATGCAACTAGTTAAGAATATAGGAAGATTTATTTCACATAGTCTGAATTTAGGAAATAGAATTTTAGGTATTCAAAAAGACAATGCTAAATAAAATATAACATGCTATAACAGCAAAGATAATATCTAAAATCAAAATGTTTTTGCAATTTAGAAAGAAAGTGGTAGTTTCAACTCTCCTCTCCAAATCAGCTTAGTTCAAACATTATATCCTAATGGCCATATTGGAAGAATTTCTTCTAGGCAAAGGTGACAAATATACCCATGCCATATGAATTGTATCAGGAAAAATAAGAGAGGGGAGCAAGAAAAAGATAAGAAGTAAATTTTAAAACCTAAAGCAACAAGAAAAATGAACACTAGGAAACAGAAAAATAAATTTTCAAAACCATGTCTAATCAACAATACCAGGTCAGGCATGTCTAGTTCAGACATTTTTAAATGCCTTTTTCTAGTTCCTGTCTCTCTTCTATGTTATTTCTTTGTGGCTTATTACTTTAGCTTATTTATTTATTTTTGCCACTAAAACTTACCTACTTTACTACATTCTACTTTCCAAAGGGAATTCTGTATCTTCTATAATTGCCTAGATCAGTCTCTTGCATAATGCTGAATGTGCAAGGAATATATGACAAACATAGTATATAAACACTGCTACAAAAAAACACACAAAAATAAGACAAGTTTCCTTAGGCTGATGAAACAAGTACAGCTTTTTAAAGATCACATCATGATTTCTGAAACATTTACCACAAATATGGAACCATGGTGTGCTATAACTACATGCTGATTCTCCTGAGCTATGACTAATTCCTCTTGTGATCAATGTTAGAAGCGGCATGTGTAGAAGCTATGACCACAAGTGCAATCAAATACCTGGCCCAGATAGAGTTTAGACATCTAACATGGGCTTTAAAAGTCTAGTAGAATAAACTATATGGCTACCAGTAAACACCAAGGTGAGTATGAAAAGCTAGGCAAATCTGTCAAAGCTATGAAAGATACGAGAATAGGAAAAAGGGGAGGAAGAGTTAAAAAAAAAGGAGAACAGAGCTTTATTGTGACCATAATTATTACATTGACTTTTGCAAAGCAACAATATATACAAAGATAGCTGACTCTATACTTGCAAAGAAACCCAAGATGGTTAAGATCTCTAGCTCTGGGAGATGAGATGGACTTGGGTTTAGCCCCTCTTCAATATATTTCTTCATAAAACAATGGGAATAACAACAGTATTTATCAGATAGGGTTTTTGTATAGATTAAAGTGAGGAAAAACATATAAAGGACTGAGTATATGGTGCCTGTTGTTGTGTGCCATCGAGTTGACTCTTACTCATAGTGACCCTATAAAAACCAGTTGGAATTGCCCCATAAAGTTTCCTGGGCTGCTGTGTTTACAGGAGCGTATCACCAGGTCTTTTCTCCCACCAAGCCAATGGTGAGCTTGAACCATCAATCTTTAACTTAGCAGCCGAACACTTAATCATTGAAATACCAGGGCTCCTTGAACCGTGCTTAGCACATAGTAAATGAAAGCTACCATTATTAATATTATTTTTAAATGATAGTGGCTAAAGAGCCTCTTTTTATTTTTGGTTTTAAAATTTATTTCAATTTTAAGGGTTCAATTATTTTATATACTTTGACTATTCTGAAATTAATTTTAAATTTCAGTATTGGATACTAACAATAATAAAGACCTTTCGATTAAGAACCACAGACTTTTCATACAGATGGAAATAAAAATTAGGTATTAAAAATCATGGCCTCACTTTTCTATGGCCAGCCAATAAGAATTCTCTAGAAAATATTTAAATGGCTAGTTATAATTGTCAGTTTTTTCCTAAGGCTTTCAGTCTGAAGAAGTGTCTCCTTGATATAGCCAAGAATTTTCAAGTCTGAGAGGATTTACTTACTTCTCTGCATTCCTTCTATCCCCAAAGCTAACAATGATCGTACACCTATTTCTTAAGGTTTCTTCTTTTAATATATTAAACATTTATGTCCAAGACAGAAGCAATATTAAATTATGCTCACAAAAGGGTTCAGAGTTATAACCTAATTGTGTCAGCATCACTGAGACTAGGTGTCATTAATGAGAGAAAAATGAACTGTCATTTTAAATCTAAGCTTATATCATTTGGTAAAGTCATAGTTTCTCTAATGTCACAATTTTACTTTTTTTCATTTGTAAAAAAAAAAAACAGCAACAAAAAAAACCCAACAACAACTACTCTTTTCTGGGTCTTATATACTCACTACTTTCTCAACTCTAAATATTCACTTATGCCCAGATGAGTTAAAAGAACTACACAAAGCTGTCAAAAAGATACTCTGTGAATACACAGAGCAAAAGCATTTGAAATACTTCACTTCCTCTTCTCAAAATAAAAGGGTAAAAAGAGATGTTGATTCCTAGTATGTATGACTGAACTGGAATTAGTCTTAAATTAATTTTTGACTGCATGATAAATCACATGCTATGTACAGATTTTATTACTTTACCTAAAAGATTAAATCTAAGGAGAAAATGGACACACTTCTACAAAATATGCCACATCACATTCCTGATTATGAAAGGCATACAGCTGAGGAAAGCAAGACCTTCCAAATTAAAGTGTATTAAATCAAAAACACATTGGAACAATTAGTCCAAAGGACTAATGGACCACAGGAACCTCAGCCTCCACAGCCGTGAGATCAGAAGAACTATATAGTACCTAGCTACAACCACCACCACTGCTGACAGCCCTGCAAGGGATCACATTAGAAGGTCCTGGATAAAGTGGGAGAAAAATATGGGAAAAAACTCAAAATCAAAAATAATACCAAGCTCACTGATCAAATCACAGAGACCATGGGCCCTAGTCACCCTTCAAGCCTGGAACTGACCTCACTCCCCATGGCTCAACTTTCAGCCAAACAATAGACAGACAGTTCTATAGGAGGTACACCAAGGAGGTACACACTCCTCAGAACAATCAACCATTTGAGATTTTTTGGGAAAAAAAAGGTAGCATTTGCCCAGGGACAGAGTTCAGAAGGCAAGTAGGGATAGGAAAAAAGAACAAATGGAAACAGGACACACAGGGAAGAAATGGGAAGAGAGATGTTATATTGTGGGGGCTGCAATCAATAGCATTAAACGAAATGTGTATGAATTGCTGAATGGAAAACTGATTTGGTCTGTACACCTCCACCCAACTCACAATAAAAAGTGTCTATACATACATAAACAAAATATAACAAATCCACTGCCATTGAGTCAGTTATGACTCATAGAGACCCCCAATGAATTTCTTTTTTTTTTTTTTTAGTGGTTTTCCAAGGCTGTAAATTTTTATGGAAGTAGATTGCCCAATCTTCCTCCCATGGAGCTGCTGGTGGGTTTCCTTATCCACTACGCCAAAACTCCTTATATACATACATACATACATATGTATATGAATTCTCTGGCTAAAGAAACCATGAAGGGATAAAGAGGTCTGCATTTACCATTAAGTCCAATCTAAAGTAACTAAGTACTAAAACCAACCTTCTATAGAATTTAGTGCCATTCTCTAGTCTCTACAGTATTCCACAAAGGACTCTCACAGATAAAGTCTATTCCTGAGCATTTATTTGTACAACGTTGTTGTTGTTGTTATGTGCCGTCAAGTCGGACCTGATTCATAGCAACCCCTCCTTGGGTTTCCAAGGTGGTATCGCTATGGAAATAGATTGCCCAACCTGCCTTCCAAGGAGTGGCTGGTGGGTTTGAACCGCCAGCCTTCTGGTTAGCAGGCTATGCTACCAGGGTAGGATTAAATCCACCTATCTCTTCTTGTACAAAAGAACTCATACTTAATTCTTAAAGGACTAACAACTACAACAACAAAAGCAGGAAGTAGAGAAAATTTATAGTTGCTGTCAATTACATGAATAAGAACACGCTCATCTCATAGGCATAGAGGTCAATACCTTGCCCTAAGAGTTCTTCCAAAATGTTGCAGTGTTTCCTCAGAGATTATTCCACAAACCAACCAAAACTTTCACTCCTCCAAGTCCTTTACAGGGTACCAAAGTCTTGCAGGTATTTGTGAATGTGGCAGTTAATTTTTTTTATTCTTTAACTTTTTATTGTGATTTAGGTGAGATTTACAGAGCAAATTCATTTTCCATCCAACAGTTCATACACATTTTGTTTCACAGTATGACTGCAATCCCAACAATGTAACAGCTTTCTTCCCAGTTCCTCCCTGTGGTTATTTTTCCCTTGGGTCCTTCTTTCCTATGCATTCCTTCCCTCTGAGCTTTCTCCATGTGAAAATGCTGCCTTTCTGATCTATGCTAAGGAATGCACATGGTATAATTGCTCACTTTGTAGACTTGTCTACTAGTTGGCTGAACATCACAGGAGTGAGTTCAATTCCAGGCCAGAAGTGTGACTAGAGTTCACAGTCCAAGGGGTTTACCAGTCTCTATCAGACCAGTATGTCTGGTCATTTTTATGAGTCTGAGTTTTGTTTCACATTTCTCTTCCACTCTATCCAGGATCTCCAGAATGTGGCATTTTTATTTCATCTTATCAAAAGGCATAAGAAGCAGAGAGAAAAATGTCATCAAATCAATGCCATTTGATCAAAGCTGG